AAGGATATATATTTTTCTTTATTTTGAGGGATAACTTCGACTTCACCATCACAAAAGTTTAACGCGTGAACAATAAAATGAGCATCATAGTGACTAAAGTTGTGTAAAAATATTGGTATATAACGAGGTTTCCTGAACTTCGAGCTACATGATTCGTGAGCAACACCTATAAAACTACCGGTGTACCAATCAAAATCATAAAAATGTTCTGCTAACTCTGTTTCACAAATATGACAAATGGTTGCATTTGAAATTTGGTTTTTGTCTTCATTTGTTAGCGGAAGTGGAGGATATTTTTGAAGTCTATTTATTTCTTTGAGATTGTTAGATAAACTTTCCATAAACACTTGTGCACAGTTGGGTCCGCAATACGTTACATATTTTGATAATTTATCATCATATGAACATTTTATATAATAACCAAAACTATGTACTTCATGTTTCTGAATATTGTGTGTGAAAGGTTTGGAAGGATCGTTAGAACATGATTCTATTGGTTTTAAAAATGCTTCAAAATCAGCATAAACTACGAATGGTATCTTCAACTTTTTTTCATAACTATCAAATTTAATTTTATCATTTGAAATAGGTTGACCAAACCAATTCTTTTTTTTTAAAAGTTTCACTGTTTGGTAATTCTGTACAAATGTGGGCACAATCGTATTGTTCATGGTTATTTAAACTTTCCTTAGATGGAAAGTGAAGTAGACATGCTTCGCAAATGTACATGATGTGACCGTCTTTTGAAATTTGTTTACTAACTAACCGCGATAAATTTTTTATGTAACAATAATGATTTTTTGTATCCTTGGAAAAAAATAATAAATTGATATGTCTATCTTTACGACACTTTGTTAAAAATAATGGACCTACTATAGAATTACATCGTTTTTCTTTATTATATTCTAACCCAAAAACATTAATACTAATATCATTTAATTTCTCTACTTTTGCTATGTCAGAAATTTTAACTGGAAAGGAAATACCATTAAATTTAAGTTTATTTGCATGTTTAACGTACGATGATACACGATCCGCGTCTTTGTTTACGGGATATAACGCCGAGAGTAACGCCCATTTAAAACAAAAATAATCCTTGCTTTTTACATTTATAACAGCCTTTTTTTAATTTTATGTCACGAGGAAGATCTATGTATGAAGTACCGCGTAGGGGGTTAAATTTATTAACATTCATGTCTATAGATTTTATGTTTTTTAGACTCCATCCACTATCTTTTTTTTTCAAATGCACTAATTTTAGTAGTAATTGTATCATTTAAAGATGAAAAAAAAATATTTAAGTCATCTCCTTGACAAATAATATAGTTAAGCGTTTGAAAATCGAACGTATCATGAATATCTTTAGTTTGTTGAACAAAATCAGCATGCAATATGAAGTTTACTTTAAAAATTATGTGTTGATGAATACACTCTTGTATTAAAAATAAAATATCATCTTTAATAGAATTTAAAAATAGTTCAGGAGTTTCAAAATTTACCAATGTCGAACTATCTACTCTACTCTTGATTTTATAAGTTAAAATCCTATTTCCAAAAGCAGATTCAATAACACTAACGTTTGATAAAGAATTATGTGAATTTAAAAGATTATTTTTGTGAACATTACTTTTAAAATGATTAGCTAAATACCGTTTCTTGATAAATATATGACACGTTAGACATTCCACTTGATCTTCGTTACTGATACTGTTCCCTGCAGAGGTAGGCGCTTCTGCTTCCGTTGTTGGTTTTTTGATGATCTTGGGTTCTTTGCTGCTCGTTCGCTTCGTTCCTCTTCCAAGTTGTAGTGGTTGACTACTAAAATGTTTAAATTTATTAAAAACTGTACAAGACATTGTGTAAATTATGATCGAAATGAATGTTTATTTTACTTACTTAAACTGTGTTTCAACCATCGCACAGTGATTATACAACTCATCATCATACGATGAATCGAACAGTTGATCCTTCTCCATTTCATCACAAACTTTAGACAACTCCTGATTTAATTCGCTGTTGAATAGTTCCGTATTCTCTTCCATGGTTGTGGAGAAGAAAGCACTGGTGCACACTTCACTGAAGTTTGCCATCCTTATAGTAAAGAAGAAAATAGGTAGCAGAGTAAGTAACAGTTCAGTGTTGGTAGACCAACTGATACCCAAATTTCAAATAATGTCCGATATTTAAGTCTAACAAAGGATTAGAAATAGAATATAATGAGTACACGGAAGTAATTTAAGTAAACAGAATCACATTCACTAATGATCAGCTAATGACTGTCATTGTTAAAAAAGTATTTTTTAACTTTTTCACTTTCTGCTATTGTCTTTGTAATATTGTATACGAGGGCGTTTGTGTTGTCGTAGATGCTATCCTTATTAGTCTTTACGTAATATTTAATCCTCGTGGAAGCATGTTTCCAATGATCAGTAGTTGGAATCTTGGATAGCTTCTTCATATCGTACATTTCAATTTTGATGAGATGCGTCGCTTGGTCTCCGTCGTCAGAATTAGTAGAAATGTATGATACACATCTCTAGCGGCTCGTGCTACGGGTGATGATAACAGCTTCCTCTTTTTTATTTTTGATTCAGCTTCAAAAAAATGATCAATCGATTGCGATTTTCTTTTTCCACCATCGCATGTGTTATTATTAATGACGATGTCATCGCTCTCTTCTTGAGGGGAGAGTGGCGAGTAGTAATACTGTTTATAGGTATTTTCATCGAAGCTCAATGATTTCTGCAACAACACAGTTATCATGTTAATATCAATTTGTTAACACTTAATCATAAAAGTTAAAAAAGCTAAAGTTACAACCTATTAAAGTCCACTGCTGAACATAGGCCTCCTCTCATTTCTGAGAGGGTTTTAGGGCTAGGAAATGTTCGCTGCGATACCTCAATGCGTGTTGTCAAACTTCACATGCCTTCGAAATTTTCTCAGACATGCATTCCTCACGATGTTTTCCTTCACCGCTGAGCACGTGGTAAATCAGCACTTAAAATTGTAATTAACAATTTAATTGGTGCCGGCGGGGATCGAACCCGGGACGTGTACTATGAAGTTTACATTTTGCGCTAACCATCTGAGCTACCACGGCTTAACCATATACACACACATAATATTTAAATATAATTTGTTAACACTAAATCATACACACGTAAGAAAATAACAGAAAGAAAAGTAAGTTTGTCAATAGAATAAACACTTACATCCATGGCCTTTGATGCGTTGAAGTAACACAAACGTAGTATTGATAGATCCACTGCGGTCAAACGACCATACACTAACTCCATGACTGCAGTTGCTTGGTCTTATATAGTACCAGTGAGTAATAATTCTAATCTAAAGAATTTCTGCAGTAGAATTGATAGTATCTTTATGCGTCAACAAGCTTACCTTACATTCTGTTGGTTATCTCTACATCCCTACGTCCTTCCTGTCATGTCTTGTTCGGTGTATTGGTGACTCAAATACGTTTTGTATAACACAAAGAAAGCAATTTAATATTTAGATATCACTATAATTGATCATTCCTATATTAGTCATTGAGTAGATTGGTACTGTAATAATCTACTAATAGCAGTAATATTATGGATACACTAGATGTACAACAACATCTGAAAAAGATTCACCCCACTCTAGAAAATAATGTTTATGCTGCCAATAAACTACCCATGTACACCCACGTACCAACGTATATAATATGCAATTTGGATACAGATGATAAACCAGGGTCACATTGGGTATCTTTATATATCGATACGAATGACGTCGGTCAATATTTTGATTCATTCGGACGGGCACCTGTACGATATCATCTAGAGTTTTTTAAAAGAAATTGTAAAAGATGGAACTGGAATGTTGATAGGATTCAGAATGAGTGGACTTCAGTTTGTGGCGAATATTGCTTAATGTATTTGCTATATAAGTTTCAGGGATGTTCAATGCATAGTTTTACGAGTATATTTACAGAGAACACATTGTACAACGATATTTTAGTGGATGAGATGTTTCGCTCCTATTTTATAGATAATAAGTAATAAGATTTTGTATTTCATAAATAAAAATCTTAACAAAATTAGGTAATGTGTTTTATTGATGATTCAGATTAGTGTTGTAGATAGGAACAAAGGAGTATAATACAATAGCATAAGCCGACCCACACGCTGGACGAATAATAGATAATGACGGTAGTTATTCAACAATAGATAAGTAGATAAGGGCAATGGAGCGCTAATGACGGTTGAGGCTCGCAGCGGATATCAATTAGATAAGAGTTAATTGATCTGCACATCTCCGGAACCGTGCATCCTACGCAAAAATGGACCGCAGATTCGTGATCAGAGCATGCCAAAACCTTTTTTTTTTTAGGATTGTGAGTCGACGAACGTCGTGCGCCAGAACTGGTACAACCTTTCTACAAGTGCGCCAGAACTGGTACAACGTAACTACTCATGCGCGACTCTACTGTTTCCCGCGCATGTGCGGATACAGAGTAGTGCACATTTTTTGTTTGGAATAAGTTCTCTAGTACGTGGTACATATAACTCAATGTCAAAAACATTCCATCTTAGTCAATTTCTAGGAATTCGCCTACGCGGATTCCAGATGTGGAGGATCATGCACCTTCCCTGTTGGACCTTCTGCTGACCTCTCAACTGGACGGATATCAGATTTCCGTCGACGCCCCTTTAGGCTCCTCGGACCATTGTCTTCTCCGGAGTGTGGTGTCACTCACGCTGAAATCGCAGTTGCATTCTGCAGGCTGCCGCCGTGTTTGGCACTATACATCAGCCGATTGGAATGGGATGCGGTCTTTCTTTGCATCCTACCCTTGGGGGCGGGTTTGCTTCTCGCCAGACGATCCCAACGTTGTTGCGGATTCTGTCGCTGATGTGGTACTTCAACAACAGGTGTCTACGGGTTGCAGTAGCAGCTCATCATCAAGTGGACTTCATTTTTCACAAATTTAAAAAAAAATCGTTCTTTTTTAGATTGATTTAGATAGAGCTTTAGCATCTTTAGAGTCAAGCATGTTGGCGACGGACTTGGCTCACGCGCTAGTCCGACGTGGCGTTCCGTTCCGTCGCGCACACCATGCCGTCGGTGTAGCTTTGCAACGTGCTGCAACTCTTGGCGTCGACTTGAGAAACATGTCCCATCAAGAGTATATTGCTATTTGGTAAATTCATTTCACTATTTGCACAACTAAACACAAATTGCATTTTCAGACAAAACACCCATTGTATGATAAAAAATAAAAATATAAATTTCTTTGCAACTTTCCGCTAAACATATAAAATGATGTGTCTTACCTGGAATGAAGCGCACCTCCCGCCCTCCCTCAATTGCATACACTAACTCCGTCACCACTATACCAAGCACCACTACTCTCAACACCACTATTCCAGGCAAGACACACCATCGACGATAATACGACACGTGTTTCGCCTCTACACGAGGCATCATCAGGTAATATAGACTCTACGGCGGCTGACCGCTAAGTGAGCGGCGAGTCGAAACAGTTGCTATTTATACACGCTGACACAATCGCTCCCTACCAAAGTAGCGAGTGACCGCGTCGTGCGATAACAAAACTGCCAACAGTTATTATTATTGTTATGATTATTTTTAAAATACTATTATTATTATTGTTTTGAGTGACCGCGCCGTGCGATAACAAATCTGCTACTAATTATTATTATTGTTATGATTAATATTTTAAATACTATTATTATTATTGTTTTATTGATATTATTATAATTATTTATTATCATTAATCTTAAAATTATTATTAAAGATTGGCCTTAAAGATGTTTAACAAAGGTGAATTAGAAACATTTGTTTGTTCATTCAGCAGTGTATAATTACCATTATTACTTTTTAAAATCTCCAACTGCTCCAGCACACACAGTCGCAGCCCCTTATTACAGGTATGTAACACTTCAAAGGAATGGTCGCTAGCTAGGTTGTGTCCAGTGTCCAAGAGATGTTTAGCAAAATGGGATTTATCAGGATTGCAATTTCTGTACGCGGCCATATGTTCTTTATAGCGCGTCCCGAAATTGCGACCAGTCTGACCCACGTAAACGGCGTGGCATTCGTCACAAACAAGTTTATAAACACCCGATTTTTGACTAATATTTAACTTATCTTTATTATTACAAATATTCCTAAGCGAATTGTTTGTTTTGAATGCCACGTTAACGCCGTTTTTCTTAAGACTATTAGCTATTTTTTCCGATATGGGGCCTAAGTAGGTCAAACTACCCACATACCGCCGGACACTTTGAGATCGAACCGCATACAAAGAATTGCGAACAACATGCTTTTGTTTCTTTTTAATAAGATTATCAACGAGACTTTTTGAAAAACCATTAGAGACCGCAATTTGATAAATTATATTAAGTTCTTTTAAATAATTTTCTTTATTTAATGGAACAGTGGACAGACGGTTAATGTAACAATAAAAAGCGGCTAATTTATGTTGCCATGGATGACACGATGATGCGGGGATGACCGTGTCGGTATGAGTTGGCTTTCGATAAATTTGAAAAACATGTAACGACTCTTTTCTTGTTATTGTTAAATCAAGGAAATTAAGGGAGCCATCTTGTTCCAATTCAAGCTTAAATTTAATTTTTTCGTGGACTCTATTTATTTTATTAAGGAAAACATCCAGTTGTCTCCTTGTGCCTGTCCAGCAAATAATTATGTAGTCTACATATCGATAATAGTATAAGATATTTTGGTTAACAACTATATGTTGTTTTTCGAAATCATCCATGAAAATGTCCGCCATAAGTGGACTTAGAGGGGGACCCCATAGCTAACCCTTCTCTTTGTAGATAGAAACGGTTATTAAACCGGAAATAATTTTGTTTCATACAGAGAGAGGTTAAATTAAGAAGATCATTTGTTTCCCCGGGATGCAGACGACGTTTTTTAAAGAGATCTGAGAGTATACGCAAACAGTCAGGGAATGGGACGTTTGTGAAAAGACTATCAACGTCTAAAGACAACAACATAGATTTAGGTGGAATACGAATATCTTTTATTTTGGAAATAAGTTCTAAACTATTTTTAAGGCTGTAAGTGGGGTTGAAACCAGATTTCTCCCGAAGGAGGAAGTTTAATTTTTTAGCAAGGAAATAAGCTGGTGCACCTATATATGAGACAACTGGACGAATAGGAACATGTTCTTTATGTAATTTAGGTAACCCATATAAAGTGGGTGCTTGAGGATTCATTGGAACAAGATTGCTCCGAGACAAGTTGTGATCGGGAAAAACATATGACGACTTTTGTATACATACTTTAATATCCGAAGTAAACTTTTTGGTTGGATCAGACTCTAACAGCTGAAAGTCGTCACCTTGGATAACATCGTTAACCTTCTGGCTATACCCGCTACTCTCCATAATGACAACAGTATTTCCCTTGTCGGCCTTAGTAACAATAAGGTTATTGTCTTTTATTCTATGCTTTAGTGACATAAAAATGGGGAACTCAGGATTGCAATGGGAAGATGCGGGTGCCTCCTGAATTTCTTTAGCTAACAAACTTTTAACGATGTTATCTTTCCTCCCGATCACAGCAGCCACCTCCGCGTCAACGGCTACAGTCTCTAACGATCTTTGGGAGACCGAAGGTGTTAAATTATACTTTAGGCCTTTGTGTAAAAGGGACAACTCATCCGTTGGAAACTGGACATCGGAAAGATTTTTAACACGGGGATAAAATTGGTGATATTCAGTATGTATGTCGTTATTACGTTTACGGGATGAAGAAGATACAAGTCGTTTTAACTTATGGGATTGAATTTGATATATCTCGTAAATGGCCATTGAAGCAAGTTCTCTGGCTTTCCCATCCAAAATATCAAATTCAATATTATGTAATTTATATGAAAGTTCAGAATATAATACTTTAAGGTGGGTTTTTAAGTTATCTCTATTGGAAAACCAACGACGACATTCCTCATTAAGCCAAATATTCTGAGCTTTGGAAATGGCAACACTGGCCGCTCGACTATGTGTGTTAGAACGTATTTGGATATAATTGGGAATAACATGAAGTTGTTTACACTGCTGATTAAACCAAACATTTTGAGCAGCAATACGATGTAGCTTTGTTAATTTAACATAGAGTCTTGCCTGTTCGGCCGTGCTAGCCTTTTTAAGATAATTGATAGAATCAGGCGTTACTTTGCGGAAATCCATTATAATAAAAAATAAAAATATAAATTTCTTTGCAACTTTCCGCTAAACATATAAAATGATGTGTCTTACCTGGAATGAAGCGCACCTCCCGCCCTCCCTCAATTGCATACACTAACTCCGTCACCACTATACCAAGCACCACTACTCTCAACACCACTATTCCAGGCAAGACACACCATCGACGATAATACGACACGTGTTTCGCCTCTACACGAGGCATCATCAGGTAATATAGACTCTACGGCGGCTGACCGCTAAGTGAGCGGCGAGTCGAAACAGTTGCTATTTATACACGCTGACACAATCGCTCCCTACCAAAGTAGCGAGTGACCGCGTCGTGCGATAACAAAACTGCCAACAGTTATTATTATTGTTATGATTATTTTTAAAATACTATTATTATTATTGTTTTGAGTGACCGCGCCGTGCGATAACAAATCTGCTACTAATTATTATTATTGTTATGATTAATATTTTAAATACTATTATTATTATTGTTTTATTGATATTATTATAATTATTTATTATTATTAATCTTAAAATTATTATTAAAGATTGGCCTTAAAGATGTTTAACAAAGGTGAATTAGAAACATTTGTTTGTTCATTCAGCAGTGTATAATTACCATTATTACTTTTTAAAATCTCCAACTGCTCCAGCACACACAGTCGCAGCCCCTTATTACAGGTATGTAACACTTCAAAGGAATGGTCGCTAGCTAGGTTGTGTCCAGTGTCCAAGAGATGTTTAGCAAAATGGGATTTATCAGGATTGCAATTTCTGTACGCGGCCATATGTTCTTTATAGCGCGTCCCGAAATTGCGACCAGTCTGACCCACGTAAACGGCGTGGCATTCGTCACAAACAAGTTTATAAACACCCGATTTTTGACTAATATTTAACTTATCTTTATTATTACAAATATTCCTAAGCGAATTGTTTGTTTTGAATGCCACGTTAACGCCGTTTTTCTTAAGACTATTAGCTATTTTTTCCGATATGGGGCCTAAGTAGGTCAAACTACCCACATACCGCCGGACACTTTGAGATCGAACCGCGTACAAAGAATTGCGAACAACATGCTTTTGTTTCTTTTTAATAAGATTATCAACGAGACTTTTTGAAAAACCATTAGAGACCGCAATTTGATAAATTATATTAAGTTCTTTTAAATAATTTTCTTTATTTAATGGAACAGTGGACAGACGGTTAATGTAACAATAAAAAGCGGCTAATTTATGTTGCCATGGATGACACGATGATGCGGGGATGACCGCGTCGGTATGAGTTGGCTTTCGATAAATTTGAAAAACATGTAACGACTCTTTTCTTGTTATTGTTAAATCAAGGAAATTAAGGGAGCCATCTTGTTCCAATTCAAGCTTAAATTTAATTTTTTCGTGGACTCTATTTATATTAAGGAAAACATTCAGTCTCCTTAATTTCCTTGATTTAACAATAACAATAAAAGAGTCGTTACATGTTTTTCAAATTTATCGAAAGCCAACTCATACCGACACGGTCATCCCCGCATCATCGTGTCATCCATGGCAACATAAAAGCGCTATTGTTACATTAACCGTCTGTCCACTGTTCCATTAAATAAAGAAAATTATTTAAAAGAACTTAATATAATTTATCAAATTGCGGTCTCTAATGGTTTTTCAAAAAGTCTCGTTGATAATCTTATTAAAAAGAAAACAAAAGCATGTTGTTCGCAATTCTTTGTACGCGGTTCGATCTCAAAGTGTCCGGCGGTATGTGGGTAGTCTGACCTACTTAGGCCCCATATCGGAAAAAATAGCTAATAGTCTTAAGAAAAACCGCGTTAACGTGGCATTCAAAACAAACAATTCGCTTAGGAATATTTGTAATAATAAAGATAAGTTAAATATTAGTCAAAAATCGGGTGTTTATAAACTTGTTTGTGACGAATGCCACGCCGTTTACGTGGGTCAGA